AAGAAATAGAATCTGAAAGATAATTAGAACCTGAAACAAAAAGAAAGAATATTAACGCGACCCTCCCGACGTTGAAGCGACAACTGGCTCTAACCTTCACGCGGGCCCCTTATATAGCGGCGACCGTCCGGAGATCGGCGAAAATTTCCGAACTTTACCGATTCCTTTAAAAGTTACTTTTCCGCTGTAATAACTAATAATTTATTAACTTTCTTGACTTTTATCGTTAATATACGTTGCAAACTATTTGTTATCGACAATTTTAATTTGTTATTAACAATAAATTTATTAATTTATTAACTTCTTGTATTAGGTTCCGAATATATTCTAACACAAATACGTCGTTTGTTTAAGTAGTAGGCAATAATTTATTAATTTTTTCACTTTTATTATAAATATACGTTGCGAGCAATTTGTTATTAACCATATTAATTTGTTGTAAACAATCAGTCATTTATAAACTTTGTGCAAATTATAGTTACATTTTGACACAAATTCGTTCCAAGTTCAAGTAATAGCCAGTAATTCCTTAATGTTTTCACTTTTATTGTAAATTTACGTTGCGAACAATTTGTTATTAACATTATTAATTTGTTATTAACGATAAGTATTATAATTTATAAATTTTGTTTATGCTTTTCGAATATAAATTTTCGTGATGCATTTATGTGAAGTATTTTTATGCTTGATGCAATTTGTTAATAACAATTTCAATTTGTCATTAATGATCAATTTCATAATTTATTCATTTTTTATAAATTATAACTGCATTTGCACTTCCATACGATGAATTTCCATGATATGTCTATGGTATGTCAACATATCTTTATTTCTTCTCTATTCGTGGCAAAAATGAAATATTACGCGAAAAGCAAAAATGTTACAAGATTCATCTTCACTTTAAAAGTTGAGTGGCAGTTTATCATTTAACAATTTTATATTGCAAAGTTATTTGTGTACCGAATAACGAAATTTCTTTTTCGGAAATGCTTACAGAATGCATTACTGTATAACAAATTCGTGTCAGATAAAGAACTTTTTCCAAAAATGCAAGAATATCCGTAGAAAAGGAAAGAATATCCGTAAAAGCATTTGTATATTTGTCGTCTGTCAGATAAAGGAATGAATGTTGATTGTCTAATTAAAACTGCTGTTTGAACGAATAGCGTAGATGTTAGTTTACTAACTCTGGTTATGTGCTCCTAATATATTTTAATAAATCAAATCGGCATTGGAAAATTCACTAATTACTCAATATCTGTGATTAATTTACTAACTTTTATAATTACATCATAAAGACAGATCCTTCAAGAACTTTTCAATTTAATTTTCGATATAAATTTGTCCCTAATTAATTAATTATTAATGATTATTCTACGCAGTGTTTGAATTGTTGTCGAAGTCGCCATTGGTTTTTCATTAATTACTATCTTCTGCGTAATCAAATTATGACCTTCATGCACGCATTATATAAACAACATCCTGGGACATCTTCATATATCACTTTTGTTCACATTTTGATTCTAGTTTCGTTTAGTATTAAATATTTTCACGGAAGATTGTGACGGTCGTCGTTACGAAATCATGGACGCCATCAAACAATAATTAATAACTAACAAATTAGCGTGAAATTCTTTACGAAAATTATATAAGAATGTTACCTAAAGTTCCAGCTTTGCAATGAAATTATAAAAGTTCATAAATTAATTACGAAAATTGAGTAATTTATATACATTTCACTGTCGGAGCACTTCCATTCTTTTCTATCCCCTCTCTGTCCTTGTTTGTCACGTGACGAGCACTTCGACGACCTCCTCGTCTATTCTATATTCCTATTACTTTTCCGAGCATATGGTCCAAAATCATAGATGGTGCTGATCGCAGGCGGTAAAATTTTTGTTCGATCTAGATACCTTTTCCGGTCATGTGCTCCTAATACATCTGAATAAATTTATTCGGCAGTAGAAAATTAATAAATTTCCAAGTTTCTGCAATTAATTCACGAATATTTATAGTTGCACAGCAGAGTTGGAATTATAGGCAACATTCTTATTCAATGTTTGTACATAATTTGATGCTAGTTAATTTCTTATTAGTAATTATTTATATTTTCGTAAAAAGTAAATTGTTTTATTAAGAAATTTTATTTACAATGTTTTCATAGGCAAAAAATGAATACAAAATAAAAAATAGAATTCAAAAAAACTACCATCTATGATTGAGAATCGAACCCCGGATCTTCAGTATAGTATTTTAAGATATAACTAGATGGCGTCTACTACTGTCTTTGGTATACAAAGTGTGGTTTGTGATTTGGAAGCTATTTGATTTTCAATGCAAATTTTGTTGTAATGATTAAAATATTAGTAGATTTCATTTGTTAGTATAATATGGCACCCACTATTCAAACTAACGGTAACACAACCGAACGTGATAAACGTACGGCAAGACCAGCAGAGAAAAGGTAAAAATTCGATTATAACCTATTCTTCATTTTCATATTATATCCCTTTTTATTATTTTTATTTCAGATCAGAGTTAATATGTAGAGTTAAATATTGTAATACATTACCTGATATACCATTTGATCCAAAATTCATTACATATCCTTTTGAATCTACTCGGTAAGATCATATTTTTAAATATCAACAATATTGTGGATACTGTATAATTGAATAATATTCATAGGTTTATTCAGTATAATCCAACATCACTGGAACGTAATTATAAGTATGAAGTACTCACAGAACATGATTTAGGTGTAGAAATTGATCTTATAAATAAAGATACATATGCTGGAGATGTCAATGCTCAGTTAGATCCTGCTGATGAAAAACTTCTAGAAGAAGATGTCCTTACTCCACAAGATTCTAAAAGATCTAGACATCATGCTAGAAGTGTGTCTTGGCTGAGACGTACTGAATATATTTCCACAGAACAAACGAGATTTCAGCCACAAACTGTGGATAAAGTTGAAGCTAAAGTTGGTTATAGCATCAAGAAAAACTTCAAAGTAAATCTTAATATTTATATGTTTATTTTATATTGAACCTTTTATTTGATATATAAATCTTTATTTTTATTCTTGTATTCATAGGAAGAAACATTATATATGGATCGTGAAAGTCAAATAAAAGCTATAGAAAAAACATTTGAAGATAATAAGAAATCAATTGAAAGACATTACAGTAAACCAAATGTAGTACCTGTAGAAATTTTGCCAGTATTTCCAGATTTCAAGGTATTTTAAATACTTCTATTTAATATTAATATTTTAATGTTTTATTATGTTTTTATTTACTTTTTCAGCTATGGAAATATCCTTGTGCACAAGTCATATTTGATTCAGATCCAGCTCCAACTGGACGTTCGGTACCTGCTCAAATTGAAGAAATGTCACAAGCTATGATACGGTAAATTTGTATTTTATTACAGTTTGCTAATTATTTTGTAGTATTTTATTACATGTTATAACAGAGATATTGCTTTAGGGGTGTGATGGATGAAAGTGGTGAACAATTTGTAGCATACTTCTTACCATTGGAAGAGACATTAGAAAAGCGTAGACGAGATTTCACAGCTGGTATTGACTATGCAGATGATGAAGAATATGAATATAAAATGGCTAGAGAATATAATTGGAATGTTAAGAGTAAAGCGTCAAAAGGATACGAAGAAAATTATTTCCTTGTCATAAGACCAGATGGGGTATGTTCTATATTAAAGTAATAGGTAACAAAGGATTTGTTAGATATAATAGAAGCATATATTTTTATTACTCGTATTACAGGTGTATTATAATGAGTTAGAAACACGAGTACGTCTTAGCAAGCGTCGTCAAAAAGTTGGACAACAACCAAATAACACGAGGTTGATAGTGAGACATCGTCCGCTTAATGCTAATGAATTTAAAATGCAAAGATATAGAGAAAAACAGTTGGAACCACCAGGAGAAGAAGATGAAGATGAAGAAGAAGAAGAAGAAGAGGAAGAAGAAGAACCTCAGCAAGAAGCTGAGAAAACAGAGGAAAGAGGTCAATAGTATTATACAAACTTCTATTGGCTATATATTTTACATATTTGAAATATAACTTTATGATTTAATTTTATTTTAGAAGGATCTGAAAATGAGGCTGAATCCAGAGCATCATCAAGAGCATCATCCAGAGTATCCAGTAGAAAATCTCGCTCTCGTTCAAAATCGGGTTCTAGATCAAAATCTCGTTCTGCGTCACCATCGAAGTCTCGATCTGCTTCTCGTTCACGTTCGGAATCCCAGTCCCCTTCTAGATCGCGTAGCAAATCAAGATCAAGATCTGGTACTCCTCAATCTAGAAACTCTTCGAAATCAAGATCTCGATCAAAGTCACCTTCGAGATCTCGTTCTGGATCTCCAGTTAAATCTCGATCTGGATCCCCATCGAGTTCGAAATCTAGATCGAAGTCGAGATCTCTTTCACGATCAAGATCAGCTAGTGGCAGTGGAAGTGAGTCTGGTAGTGGCAGTAGTGAAAGTGGTTCTGAAAGTGAATAAATAATAAAAATTGGAAATGTTCTACCATTATATGTATATACTGATTGTTATAAATGTAAAATGTAGTAGATGCGGTCAAAACATTTTTAATAATAAAAAAATGATCGATAAAGAAGGTTACACTTCCTCATAATCATTATGTTTAGTATAAAAATGTGCCGATAGAGTGCAGTTCAAGTTCTCTTGCGTTCACCTGCAAACCTCTTTTGAGTAGCATTGCATCATCAGCATGACGTACCCAAACTGTGTTTTACCCTAACACGCATGGCACATTACTAGCAACAAAAGTTTCAATATTGAAGTTTTCAGAGTGATATGAAGCCAAAAACATAAAGATTTACATACAGCATAAAAAGTAAGTAAAAATTAATATATACAAAATGCAACATTTTTCATAATATGAGACTACAGTGTTCTAAACGTTTAAAATTTACTATGTATTCTAAAAACATTGACTTCGACTTATATGACGCACTACTTGATATGCATTCGTAGTTGTATATATATCACATGCAGTACATGTAGTATTTTAACTCACTACGTAAACATATAATAAAAAATATTTAAATCAGTTTAATGTATTTGATTTAGAAGTTCAATAATATATTTTATGCAGTACTAGTACTTGTATTCAATGTTATTATCTTTTTTAATCCTTTAATTTTTAAAAACTATAGTCTAAGTTTTTAAATTTAATATATTTCTTTAAATTAATTATAGATGGCACCAAAGAATAAAGAAAATAATACATCTGGAAATAAAAAGAAGAGGCAAGTTTCTGAAGAAGAAGACGATGAAGACTATCGAAGACGTAGAGATAGAAATAATCAAGTAAATAAAAGTAATTAAATATTTTATTGAAAATGTATTATGAATATTTGTTTAATGTTTTAATTTTTTTATAGGCTGTAAAACGTTCTAGAGTTAAAAGCAAATTACGAACACAACAAACATTAGAACGTGTAAATCAATTAAAAACAGAAAATGAATTACTCGAGGAAAAAATTAAAATGCTTACAAAAGAATTAGGATTTTTGAAAGACCTTTTTCTTGCACATGCAGGTATGTTTATATTGCGACTATTTAATTTTTTTATAGTTCTTAGTACATAAATTATATCTATAATTGTAGGTTCAAGTCAACATTCTATGAATTTTCAAGATGTAGACTTGAATGCTCTTCTGGCTGAAGACACAAAATCTGTGGAACAAGTGAAAGAGGCATCTAACCCATAGGTCATAACTAATTCCACGTGAAACAAGTAACGTGGTATTGATCAGATCTGAAGATGCACTTTGGTTCGTCTATTTCTAGTAAACAGTCAGATATCTTGGAAAGATATCTGCTTGTAATTGACTTTTAATGAATTTGAGATGCATGAAATTTTAGTGTATGCAGCTCATTGCATGTGAAATTCATTATTATTGGAATCTCAAGTATTGAATGAGAGAAGGTACAAAATTCAAATACTAAAAAGTTAACAATGCATGTAGAGGTAGGAATTGTTTTCAGTGGAGGAAATGACAATATGTTATATGAAGAAATATATTGTATCAAAGAAGGAGATAGGTGTATAACAGAGCATGTGTATGATATATTTAAGTGCTTAAGTTTAGAATAAACAAACTCAATAATTCCACAGGGAAAATATTTTATGTATTTCGTAAATTTTTATTTTTTATGATGTTATACATAAGATACTGTGAATTATAATTACTTATAATAGCATTATTTTAATCATTCCATTATAATTGAATTGTCAACATTTATCGTTAAATATTTTATGCAATTGAAGCGTTAAAGAGAAAGTTTCATAAGCTATATTATGACAAGATTTTTTTTTAAAAAGCTATATTACTATAGAAAAATGTTCATTGTTACAAAGTGTATGAATTGTCAAGAGTATTTTTAAATGAAATAAAACAAAGTACCTGGAAGTTATAATTATTTATTCCATGTATAAATAAATTTAAATTGAAAATAGAGATGCACTTTCGATGAAAATAAATAATGTAGGTTTCCCCTAGAAAAACACCTGTCATCATTCAGTTACTAGATTCAATGTTGACTTCAGTGATTTGAGTTATTTTTTTAACACTGGCATGAATTTTAATATTCAAAGTAAATAATTGAACAACTTAAACGAAAATTTGGATATGGGGAAAACAACGAGAGTAGTTGTTTGTGGAATGAAAGGTGTAGGAAAGACCGCGTTATTGGAACAACTTATATACGGGAATGTCAATGTCAAGACAGTAAGAATCTAGGTTATGTTTGAACAAAATCAGTTGTAAAAGAACATTTGTATGTTACGTACTGTTTTGTAATTTTAAATGCACAATTTGATCGTAAACGAAATTAACGTGATATTACATACTTATTTTATGAAAATTATATTTTGTAATGTAATAGGAAATTCATCCTACGATCGAAGATATTTATGTTGCAAACATAGAAACGGACCGTGGCACGAAGGAAAAAGTGCGATTTTATGACACGGCAGGACTGGAATCTCTTCAAAATAATGCAAATAATCAACAATTACCGCGGCATTATCTTGGTTTTGCAGATGGATATGTTCTAGTTTATGATACTGCTAAACCTGAATCTTTAGATGTACTTTTTCCATTGAAAAAGGATATTGACAAAAATAAAGACAAAAAGGAAATAACCGTGATCGTTATTGGAAATCGAAGTAAAACAGAAGAAGACTCTCATAGTTTGGAGAATACAGCAAGCAAGGCTGCAAATTGGTGTACAAGAGAGAAATTGAAACACTATGAAGTAAATGTTATGGATAGGGGAAGTTTGTTTGAAGCATTCATTAATTTATCCTCTAGATTGAATCCTCCTACCAATAAGAGTACATTCCCACAATTAAGTATGGGTAGAAAAAATATTAAAGTTGAAGGTCCTTAATTACATTTATTTATAACTTACTTAGTTGTTCGTATTACCAATGTTAGTGGCATTCTTTTAATCACTGACACTGGTTTCATTGTTTAGTATGCTCAAATAACTTTTGTACAAAATAAGCGTATACTCAAAGGATAATGTACTTAAAGCATCTGTTTGTTTAGATGCTTATAGTATTGTACATGTATAGTGATAGTTTTTCGTAAGATATTGTTCAATTCTATGTACAATATATTGTGCATTTCGTTCCTTGTTTGTACTTAAAATAGGTATATATATATATATATATATATTATCGAATGATCGATCGTAAATCGCAATTAACTTCATTCGTAATGTTTGCTTGCTATAAAAACTTCATGTATAATGCCCATATGGATAATTGAAGTGAAGCGATTTACCATTCAATCGGCTTTGTCAATTGCCGTAAACAAATATTCGTTCCGAACACATAATCCCACAGTTTACTGCTAATACCATAACCTGAAGAAGGCAATTTTCATTTATAAGAGATTTGTCTAATATTTTCGAAGTAAAAAGAGTGTTACCTAAGTCATGATGTAAGAAATGATGATAGTTATGACTTCTTTTCAATAAATACATATACGTTCCGTCTTTTGGCGCTCCATGATGTAAATAATAATGTATTAAATCGTAACAAATATAGCCTATGGAACAAAACTTTTCTTATTAATACATAATTAATGTTCTTAATAGGATTATCAAATCTAAATATGTATATCGTTGATATTACCTGTCACTGTACCAGCCATTATAAACGATACCGCCGTTTGTGGAAACAGTGCTTCATAAATATATACTAATAATCTTGTAATTATTAAAGCTGGAATAGGAGGAAATACCAATCTTCTACCATCAAACGGTGCCTGTGAAATAGGAAACGAAATCGTTAAGCGATTTTAATTAATTTTGGCTTATCGAATTATCTCCTCGCTGTTTTTTGTTTTTCTCTTTTTTTTTTTTTTTTTTTTTGTAGAAATTGAACGAATTCAATGATTAACGATTAATTTTGTACCTTGTGATGGACGCCATGAAGCAGAAAATGAAAGGATATAAGTAGTTTAGAGTTAGTAGGTGGTTTAAAGTGAAAAAGTTCACGGTGAAGTACATATTCTACAAGACTCCACATAAATATACCTAGTACGTACGAGATTATAGATTCGAACAAGGTGGTTCCTGAAAATTACGAAAAATTTAATAGAATATATATAATAATGAAATTACAATAATTTTTAAGGAAATTAGCGAGCGGCAATTACGTGTAGAGGAGGAAGTTGTTGAAAATGTCGAATTCTGTAATATATGCAAATATCATGGAAATTGGTGATGGCTACATTTCTCTATATAAGCACCATTTTGAATTACGCATTTATAAGGTATGTTAATACAAAATTTATAACAATCGATCGTCCCTTGGATAAACTGATAATGATGTATTTTAATTGTTTCGTAGCAATTGTTACTTCGTTATAAACCGTTATTACTTCGTGTATTAATAAAGTAAAAGAAGAAATGAAGAAAATAAAACGAATAAGATACAGTTACCGGTATTATTGGCGATATTGTTCATCCATCCCGTATAGACGAAGTAGATAACAATCGGGATCCATATTATTGGAATTAGATACCAAGGAGTAATCGTTATATTTTCTAAGATCTTTGAGTCGAAAAGTCTAATATTCCGATTCACTGGTAAATTGACCCACTCCCAATACTGATGACCTAACGAACCTACTTGTGGAAGTATAGCGGCGTTCCAATCGATCAGGTTCTATAAACGTTTAAATGAAACCATCGTCAGTTTGCAAGTCTCGATGTTTCCCTTACATTTCCCTTAAAGCGTAAAACAAAGGCGAAACAATTCGACACGAATATCAGGTATTCTTATAAGTATCCTTGTACTCACTTCATACTTCTGGTACGTTTCCTGATTCTTTACCGTGAACTCTTCCAACAGGTGAAACGCCGCTTTCGAGTGAGGATTCTCTTCGAATACTTTATCCAAGCTTCGATTTTTAAAGTAATTTAATACTTTCTTTCCACCGGGATGGTACGAAAGAAAGTCGTGTATGTTGTACAATTGATTTTGGTATTTAATTAGAAACTCATTGCTATTCTTATTATCCTCGATCGATTGTACTTGAGATTTCGATTGCTCGGTACGTTTCCGCACGTCGCCGTTAGTATCCGTCTGTCTCGCCATTGAATCGATCAAGCCGGTTACTATTCGTAATCACTATGTCGTTTATCGTTTCAAGAGGAAATAATATCGTGCGGAAGTGAAGCGTCGTAAATAGCAAGTTGAACGGTGGACGAGCAATGAGCAGAAATCTGTGAACTATCTACTTTTGATGATCGACTATTTTATCATCGCACACACGAAACCTTGTTAAAATACGCGTATGCGGATATCGTATGGACATACCATGCTATCTTCCATGTGTTACTTACCTTGATAAGTTCCTATCTATACACCACCGCCCTCTTCTAAATTTTTATTATACTGACTACGCATGGTCTCCTTTTTCTGCTCATTACGGTGCATTACTTGGAATCGTTGACGATTATCGTTGTTTCAACACGATTATATCATCGAGCATTATCTAACCTGGCGTTTATCGTTTGTTTCTCTTCCGTTTCTTTCCTTTTTACACCAGTCCGCTGTTTCTCTTGCACTTCGTTACGCGGTTTCCTGTCACATCCGATGGACACGCGGTGGTAGTAACATTGGCTAACAATAGGATCGAATAAGAAGGACTTTCGAACGGAATCGTAGGCACGAGGTACGAGCGTGAGAAAAGTCGATAAGCACACAACCATGGCCTCGTGTACTCGGCAATAAATAAGCTTTTATTTAAACGTCTTGGATATTTGTGTATACAATATACCCTATGTACGATCTATATTTAAATGTCTACGAACGCAGCAGCGATCATGCTCCGGTGTGTCAAGTGGAAAAAGGAAAAAAAAGGAAAAAAAAAAAACAGAAGAACGGAAAGAAGGGAAAAAAGGAGCGGGGTAACACCCCTTTCGTGGGGTAGATCTGAGCACTCGCGCTGCCAAAAATATAGCATTTCGAGCATCGCCGGCGCAACGCGATGAACAGTGGTATCCGGTATTCTCTTTTTCTCTTAGCATTGCTATCGATGTTCTCGAGCCAGGTACTGATCTCATCAAGCGAACGTGTATCGCCCGACGGAAAGATAACCGCCCTTACGTTTCCTGGATATTTGATTTTGCGCGTCGATGACGCGATCGGTCTTGACAGCAAAGCGGAAACGAGCGAATCAGCGATAGGCGCGAATAACCGTGTGAGCGTACGTGTGCTCCACTTGATAGCTAGCTTCCGATCTGCCAAGATACGATCGCGTAATCGACATCGACCTTGTCGAACTCGCAACGGATTAAACTTTGGACGAAGACTCGAATCATCGCGACATTTCCGCTTCGTGGTTCTTCCCCTTTCCCTATTTTCTTGCCTTTCCTTTCCCGTCGCTTTTCTTCGCCCCTGTTTGTTAAGTACGGCCCTAAAAGATTCTTCGACCCGGTCGCGACATTCCTGCCTCGGAGAAATCTAAATCTGACGGAATTTCGCGGTCTATCTCTGCCTTAAGTAAACGGGTTTCTAGCGAGTCGGAAGTATTACGAAACTCGCGGCGAAGAGATACCGTCTATACGCTATGTCCTACTCGTACGGCACTATTTAGACGAGTAGGTGTATAATCTCTAGTTTGCTTTCCGCATTTGCAACTTTTCTTTTGATCTTTTTCCTCTCGTCTCGTTCTCACCCCTGAGGTTTGGAAGCAATAGGAACGTAGGCATCGTCTAAGAAATCCATCGGGAATGGAGAAACGAACGATCGTTCGCGCGTACGAACGCGAACGTTTCGTTTCATTTTCAATTGGACGTGCCTTCGTTAGAACATACGGCTGATTCGTGACAACTTATCATCGATAAGGGTGACTCCGATGGTCGGTCGGCAGATCCTTCGGTTGAAATGTAAAAGCAGACGGCACTCTCTCTATAATCGCGAACGGGGGAGACTAATATCAACGCGATTCGTTTCTTCGCGATGGAAATCTATTTGGTTTTTAACACAATGCCGTCTTCAGGGTTTCGCGAGTAATTTTGCAATTTTCTATCCTTTTTCTCCGCCATTTTGTTTTGCTTGCTTCGCAATGCCGATTTTATCTGCGATCGAACGAAATAACCGAATTGTAACAGATCATTATACGATAACGTTCAGGCCGTTGAAAATGATTTAGGTCTCCATAAAAACTAAGCAACCGAACTTATAAAGCGAGCGGAGGCGCGACGAAACGATTTCGAGTGCGATTAAAATCGGTCTCTCTTTCTCTCTGTCTCTCCTTCTTTTTTTACCATGTACATGTCTGTAACGCCGAGTATTTTTCTGTGTTTTCTTCGCTTCTCTGTTTCTTATTTGCTTTGTACACGCTAATTCCCGCGTCACAGGTTCGACGGAAGTTAAGTATTGCTGTTGAAAAGCACCGATCGTCCAGTTCTCTCGTGTCTCGATTCGGACCTGCAATTCGTATCGTTTTACGCGTCTCCCGGGAACCGAAATTCGAAAGGGACAAGTGTTCAATTATCCTTCTTTCCCTGCTCTGTTCGTAAGAAGAAACGTTGCGACAGAGGACATCGCGACACGCGACACTCGCTTCTTTTTAAAAGTCCATCACTTCCATTTTGAAGGGTTTACCCTGAAGCTTGTTGGGCACGATCTTCGTTATGGGCGGTGCGCTGTTATTGTCGTCGTCGCTATTCACGTCTTCGTCCTCCTCGGGAAAGTCCTCGAGACGATCGTGGTACTCGTCCAACTGAAAATCCAAATCGTTCCCTTTAACCACTTGCGGCCCTTGGTTCGCCAACGAGTCGTGAACGAACAATCGCAGCTAAGGCTATGCGTGATCGTTTGTAAGTAACATAGGCCAGCCAGCGCGTGATCTTTATCAGTGAAAGTGCGGTGCCAGTGAAATAACAAGCGAGAAAAAGCTCCCTTGGTGAGCTTCGGCATTTACATATCGCTCTTTTCTTTATTATTTTTTTTTTTTTTTTTCATATTCATTTCACAGACAACATGCCGATCTTCGTACGACGTCTAAGAATCGTCGGTTCGCTAAGACTTAAAAGATTCAAAAGCCGAAGACAAGGCGCCATCCGTGTTCCCTCCGATTCCCATCTCGTGCTCGACGATCATTATCCCGGCGGAACAAAAAGAAGGAGAAAAAAAGACGGAAACGAGGGTGCAAAGCGCGTAAAATTAAGCTAAGAGCATTCCATAAACGGTAGTATACTACGGACTCACGTGTAAGGTAGCTATGGAAGAAGCGATTAATCGACGTTACCGCACACAGAACGGACGCTTCCCTATAACTGCAGGTACGTCCAACGTAAATCTTAATGCTCGTCCAGGCTTAATCGACGCACCTTGAGCACTTTAATTCCTCTCCCCTGATTCGCACCCGCGACGATAACCATATGCGCGCCTCTTGGTGCGCCAATTAAGTCGCCCTCTGTTATGGTGACTACCTCTCTACGTTGTCTAAACAAGCATATATGAACGTGCCCCGCGTGTTTTATCCACAGATGCGATTGGTGATAACAACGAGTCGACGAATCAGAGAGACGAATGAGATTGATCGTGTGAATAGCAAAGGCTAGGCGATCTCCTCAGCTCCGAATAGAGACAGTGTCGTTTGATTTATCGAGCACATTGTTCGAATGTACGGTAGTCACATTGGTGAACGTTCAAGAAGCTATAGAGAATGTAGATAAGAGAAGCACACAGATGCAAATGCGTGTGTCGAGATGTAGAGTAGAATAGAGAATGACGGGGAGGATGAAGGGGACGCGATCGATTAAGGTGAAACGAGCTCATCGCGATCGGAGAATCTCAGGATCTACTCACATCGACGTCGCCCATCATCTCCTTGGTAGAAACCGTGGTGTCGATGCGTCGTATGCTGCCTTGATGGATATCAACATCCAGCTTGACGCATTGGAACCGCCTCAAAAGGAATACGATCGGTATTGGCGCGATGCCCGCGAAAATGATGACAACCGCTATGGCCAATACCCAGCTGGGGTATGCGGTGGGCACAGCTATACCCTGGAACGAACGAAGAGAAACATGGTGGAGGGGCGATGTTAAAAAATTAGATAGTGAAATATCGAACGCGCAAATCCCTCCTTACCTGTGACGCGTCCCACGCAGAATATTGAGGCTTTTTGATGAACATGGACGCTATACTGGAGACGAGAATGCAGACCATGATTATAGGGGCGAGAAATCGCCAGGTAAATTGCCAGTACGTCCCAGGTCTGTATCCCGTCATTTCCTCGATGTCTTTCGTGAATCTGGGGAAGAAATTTGCTTATACTCCACGTGGAAGGAGAGGCAAGCTGCAGAAAATATTCTAGAAAATATTCCAGCCTACTTTTCGTGGCCGTAGATGAAGATGACGGACACCATTTCCATGAGCGCGACCATCACGAGACCGATGGTACCGGCGAAGCTGTCGAACATCTTGAGCCAGTATTCTCCCGCGCCGGTGCAGAATATCAAACCGACGAAGAAGCAGACCGTGCAGACCACTCCTGAGGAATGAAACGATCGGTTTAAAGTCCCCGTAAAGATCGACGAAAAGATGAGAACCACGACGATCTCGTACCTGTCATGTATTGCTTCTTTATTCTCTTGAACAGATCTATGTCGAAGATCACGCACAGCATGCCTTCTAGTATACCGATCTGGGAGCCCAGGCCGAGTGCTAGAAGCATGAGGAAGAAGATGCAGGACCAAAACGGGGCACCGGGCAGCTCGACTATCGCCTGCGTGAAGACAATGAAAGCCAACCCTGTTCCCTCGGCGGCCTGGCGACGAGCGATCGATTTTTAACAAGGACGAAAAGACGAGAATAAATGGGAAATAAGACGCGAAATAACGTTGGACAATTACGTTGTCTAATTGCTCGCTGAGACTGCACGTTTTCAGTGTGAAGTTCAACGCGGCCGTGTCCAAGGTACTTAAAGCTTGTTCGTACTCGTCCATGGTGATGTTCTCATGCGTTATGAGTCCATTTTGAAATAGTAAGTCTTTGTTACTGGAACAGGGAAACGGGTTGGACGATCGTTAACGGTGGAGCTGGTCTCTTTGTTGGATTTCGACGGAACGCAAGCGGAAAAATCTGTTTACCTCGCGAGGCACTTATCGACGTTTGTCATCGCCTTAAAGCCTAGAATGGCGAATATCACGACACTCGCGTAAATAGCGGTGAAGGCGTTACAACCGCTGACCAGGATCACGTCCCGGACGCAGTTGTTGTCCGGAGTGTTGTACGAACCGAACGCGATCAAGGAACCAAACGCTAGTCCGAAACTGTAAAAAACCTGCGTCGCTGCGTCGAGCCAGACCATCGGCTCTAACAGTTTCTCGATCTGTCAGGGGAAGAATAGAAACATGAGGAAGAAGGATGAAAACGACGCGTGACAATCGCGTGGACTGAGAAAATGAATTACCTTTGGCGTGTACATGTGGGCCAATCCAGCGCTGGCACCTTTTAACGTTATTCCACGAATAAAAAAGATAGTAAGCACCAAATACGGGAACATGGATGTAAAATATACCACCTTTAAATCAAGCAGAAACATAAGTGGTTGACACAGTATATCTGACTTTCGCGTTTACTCGGGGGACAGGGGGCGGAAACGGGGATGTCGGAGGAGGCGGCAGTTCGAAGGGAAAGTAAACGAGCACCGGCGGGGAAAAGAAAAACCAATTAAAACACTCGACGCGTCCTTACCTTTCCCGATGATTGTATTCCCTTCATCACGATAAAGAAGACGACGATCCAACTCAAGAGTAGACAAAGGACGATCCACCACTTGAGACTCTGCCCTTCTTGGATCGACGGTGCCGCGTCCAACGTGGTTCTGTACCAAAAATAGGCAGTTTCCGAACTCTTCACGCATTCCTCGACTGGCTTGCCATCAACCTCTGGACATTGCGCCCATGGTAACGGTTCCTTTAAATCGCGAAATCGTTCGGCGTGAAAATTTCATGGAAAAAAAAAAAAGCTTGAAATTCGCGTGGAACGCGAAGCAGCGGATATACGACACGCGTGTAAAAGCGTCTAACGTCTAGGATCGAAGACTACATCATGCGCGACGCGCGTGCCATTTTGTCCGATATGATTTCTCGCCTGACTGGCGTTTGCAAAGGAAAATTGAAATCGACAGGTACTTACGCCGAACTTAATCGTGACGGCCTAATCGAGCGCGGCATGAAACATAAATCGCACAGGTTAGTCGAACGATCGTGAAACCGTTCTATTCCCAGCCGTTACATTTCCCGCGATATTCCATCGATCAATTAAACGCCATAATCGTTGGTAAGAAGCACGTTCTCGATCGGCGGAATAACAACGGCCACGGTATCGATCGTATCGATCGGTCATCGGAAAACGAAAGGACTCACCTCGAGCGAATTGAAAAGATAATAGAAGCACCAGGTAATGATGACGTTGTAATAAAGCGCTACGAAGAAGGTGACGATGCAAGATGCTATTCCTATACCGCCTAGCCATGGATGTATCGTGTTCCATACACCAAGGGCACCCTGTCGCATTCGTTGACCGAGACCCAGCTCGATTAAAAAGAGGGGTACTCCCTCTAGGATTAGCATCACGAAAAAGGGGATGAGAAAGGCACCTGAAAAGCGTCCCGTGCATAACATGTTTTTACCCCCGGCTATTTTCTTTTCTCGCTCTCTAAAACGAGATACGCATTCTTCCTACTCTCCCTCTCTCTCTCTCTCCCGGTAAAATAATATCCTTCGTTAGACCCCTTCCCAACCCCATAGCCTCTCTTGTTCAACTGACCCCTTATTACAGGAATGAATGCCATAACCGTTCTCTTTTAATCTCTCCCATTTGGCAGGCCTGGCCGTGTCCCTGCTTACAGAATATTCTTCGTTCCCCTTTTTTTTCGCGGTAGTCTAGTTCGAGACAGCCGCAGCCGGAGTGTCTGGTTCGGTATTGATCGAGTGACGTGTACGAACGTGCATTACGTAGGTTACACGTTCGATCTCGTCCCGGCATTCTTTCTCATTTTTTCCTCTCTTTCCTTCTCCTTCGTTAATTCCGTCCAAAGTATTTCGCCAACGTCATTACACCGCCGACTATTGACAAATCCTGTCACGCTGCGCGCGATATTGCCGCGATTACGCGTGTCCGCGTACGCGGAAAGCTGCTCGTTGCGAGTTCGAAGCACGAGATTCCGCCGTGCGATTTTCTCGATTTTTTCCGCAAATCGTCCGAGCAAAATTCCTCGTTCCACTCGCATCGTCCCGTCGTATCGCGCCGCCGCTTTCGCGCTATCGATTCGCAGGCTCCTCTTGGCGAACGTACCCTTCGCGGCCAACTCGCACCGCGTCGCGGGAATAAAGAGCGACGACAAAAAGCGAGAACAAAAAGCCGTGGAACGAAAGGCGAAGGGATGTCTGAAAATCGCGGTTTCCCTTTCGCAGAAGCTGTTTGAAGAGGCTCGTGAACGGGGCAAGAGGGAGGAAGGGGCGACCGATAGAGCGGTTGCGGATGCGAAATTGTTACGTGTTCGCCGATAGAACGTTAAAAATCGATCGACGCGCGTCGGACGTCGGCGTCAGGCTGAACGGCGACCTCGACGTCGGTGTCGTATCGCGGCTCGTGGAAATTTCCATTGAAAATCGAGAAGGACCTGGCTCGTTTTCGGTACAGCGGCATATATCGCGTGCCCCGCGAATCGTTACCGCGAATCGCTGACCTAGCCAGTCTGCTGAAGGAAACTCGCGTTCGTTCCTCGCGTACGTTTCTCGCGTTCTGCGCAATACAACTCTCTCTCTCTCTCTCTCTCCCTCTCTCTCTCTCTCTCCCTCTCTCTTTTTCCCTCCCCTGTTCACCGAGTCTTGGCTCGTCGACGTTCGCAATTCCCGATGGAAACTTCCGCGACGAAATTCGTGGGGGCGTCCGATTTAACGGCCGCGTAAACCACGTTTCTGTGACGTAACGCCTGCCGTCGTGATTTCATTCGCGGTTCACCCGCCACCCTTGCTCGCGCACCCACCCACGTAGGCCAGCAACGTCTGCCTTCGCGATACGCGTATTTCCGTTCCGTTTGCATCGGAATGTAATCGAGTTACGCCGGTCGGGGTATAGGTCGTGGATAGAAAGATCGTGGATCGAAAACGGAGGGTTCAAGGGCGAATTTTATAGGATTTGATTCGAGTTTCCCCGGCTATCTCGTCCCGGTGTGTGGATTTTTGGGAACGGGGAGGAGAGGGGCACGCGAGGCGCGAAGCGTCGCGACGAGTGAAATTCGTGGACGACGCGCACGGATCAGGCCTTCGCGACGTCCTCGTTAGTATTTCGAAGATACGCGAAACGCTCGGAAGATATATATTTTTAAGCGGACGGCATACGACGGGGGCTGTTGGTCGAATAGTGTGACCGAAAATAACGTTTAACGTTGCGTTTTACGGTGGCCGCTCGACTCTGGCTGCTTTCGGTCTATCTTCGTTTTAGAGAACGTTTTTCGTGGAGAATCGAGCACGATTTAACGGTTCAAGACCGAGGCTATATCCTCGATATCGCGTCTTGCCTCTTACCCTTTTATCCCCTTCGTGTTTTCTATCTCCGTTTTATAGGGGAGAGACGACAAAGATGAAATTTAGAGGATTACGAAACCTCTCGTGGCGAATGTTACTTACCTCCTCCGTTCTGTTGGCACAGGTAAGGGAATCTCCAGATATTCCCGAGTCCCACGCTGTAACCGATAATACTGAGGAAAAATTGCATCTTGCCGCTCCATTCCGCTCTGTTCTCCTCCTTGGTTTCTTGACTGCCAGCAGCATTTTGGCTTCCGGTTACCACGATTGTCACGTTCTGGCCTGCCTGACGTTCCTCGTTCAACGGAGCCAGCTCATGCCCATTTCTCGTACTCTCGTTCTTGACTACCATGCTTCACCTCGGGGTCCCTTGTTCCAAATACGAATAATCCAACTTCCGCCTGTGCTTTCCGCTCCCTTTCACGGCCGCTCGTTCCTATTGCCTGTTCTACTCGGCAACGAGAGCCTTATTCTTATTCTTTCTTCCCCTTCTTTCCTGCCTTTTGTCGTTCCACGCGTTTATCGAGAGGCGAGACTCGATGGACCAGCACCGTTCGGGGTAAACCGGGACGGGACACGTGTAAAGAGCGTACAGACGTGTCACGAAAAAATCACCACGGCCACGAGATTACTGGCGACGGAGACGAGGGAAACGGATAATGGCAGCAACGAGTGGCTGCTATCGAGAGCAACAACAGTGTAACAATAACAACAAACGACGACGACGTTAACGACGCAGTGTCAACGACGCCGACGACGAAGACGAGGACGAGAACGGCGACGGCAGTTCAACAAAAGGCCCAACAAGGATCTTAATCGTTACGTTTAACTATAAGAATACTTTTTTTTCTTTTTTTTTTCTTTTTTTGCTATTATTATCCTTTATTCTTTTTTTTTTCTTTTTCTTCGTTTTCTCTCGAATACCGTTATCTCGGATAAGCTTACTTCGGCGAGTAGAAAAAATTGCTCAGGGCAACGAGGAAGGCATGCCTAGCACGAAGAACGCGCGGTCGTTGGTCGAAACGGAGCTGCCACGCGGACGCTGGCTGCTCCACTACGCGAGCAGCGGATGGCACAGACACGCGGGGCGTTCTTCCTCTTTTCCCTGTTCGCCTTACCCTGCTTAACGTTGTAAAAAATCGCGTGGCTCTTCAGCATCGATCGGTGAAATTATCGCGTTAACGCGACGGAAGCGGAGGCTCGTGGTTCGCGACGAGCTCGTTGCGAAACACGCAGGAAGAATGTTGCCGACGACTCGAAAAGATTGCGTTAATTTCGACGGAATTTACGCGAGGATTACGCGCGAATGAACGCGTCGCGATGCAAGGCTGAAAATCAACGATTCGGATATCTGTCTCGAGCGGCGAGTATAATCGATACGGCGTGGGTCGTGTACGAGGGAGAGAGAATCGTCGTAGGTCGGAGGGAATTTCTCCCTTGGATTTCCAGCCGATCTCGCTGGAACGATTCCCTGGTTTCTGTCGAAACGACACTGGCAAAGGAGGAGTCAACGACAGAGGAATCGAAACAAACACGGCGAACGCGAATTGCGATACGAGCCAGAAGAAACGAAGGGGATAAGGGGATGATCGAAGGAGGATGTGTGTACGACGACCGTTGTCGAGAGGACTTTTGTTCGTACGAGAGTGAACATCGGTTTACCACCCTTGGTACGAAAACGAAGCATCGATGCTCGCGAGAGATCACGACCGCGGGTTACAGGCACAGGAGAATCACTTGAACGCGTCGAAGGGGTCGAAGGAAGCTCACGGTTTCACGTTGCTGGCACACGATTATTGTCCTGGAACATGCCCCCGATTTTCTTCCGTCCTCTCTCTTTTCACAGCGTGACGCTGTTCCTCTCTCGGTTTTCTCCGCTTTCGTCTTCCGTGGATGCTGGTGTCCCTTTCGACTGCGTGTGACATAAGCTTCACGGTGCAGCGTGCAGTTCGAGAACCGTAGAAAATATTAACGACGATTTACTACAATCGGCAGCACCGTTTGCATCGCGGTCATGCTTCTCTTTTCTCGCGCACACGCTCCTTCTCTCCCTCTCTCCCTCTCTCTCTCTCTCTCTTTCTCTCTTTCTCTCTTTCTCTCTTTCAGCTCGTTGTCACAGTCGTTCCTATGCTCTCGAGCGTATATCGTTCAAGATGCGTTAGAGGGGACGCGTAACACCGACCAGCAGGCCGCCGCTGTTGGATCGCACTCCTCTTCTTTTCCCGACAAGGCTCGCGGAACTGACCGAACTCGAATCGGATTTCGAATTATTTCGATCCAGCGGTCCGCTGAGTGAACCGGTGGTGGTGCTCGTACGAACGTGGATCGCAGATGCGTGGACGGCGAAAAGAAGGAAGAATTTTCGGAGCCATGTAGTTCGGTTCCTCCCTCCTCGCGGCAAACCCGGCTGCTATTTTTCTCTGCCCGCCGATCGCGCACGTTCCTTTTTCCCTTCCTCCGGCCACACGCTGGTACAGGCCTTCGGTATCTTCTCCTTCCGTCTATCTCCGGCACCTCTAGCTTCTCCTGCACCGCTGCAGCCCGCGCCAATTCTTTCCGTTCTTCTCTCGACTTTCGAGCTGCTGTGGCTGAAGAGACTCTAGCAACGCGCCCCGTGCACATGAACGTCAATAACCAACTGAACCACCGTTGCGCGGCTGTGTGTGCGCGCGCGCTAACGCACGCACGCGAGGGAACCAACGGGACGAAGCAGACCCTGGAGCTTCGACGCTACGACAAAGCTTTGCACCGCTTTCAATCCCCGATTGGCCGTGGTAATTATGTACATATGGCGCATACGCTGTACGGCCACGCTGTTCCGACTCCCAACTGTCGACTCTGCGCGCTTCCCCACGAACTAGACCTGTTCGACGTGTATCAGCAACGGCCGAGTTTCCACTGGCCGACTTCCACGGGGCGAGAAAATCGCTAGAGGACCGTGCAAGAAGGGAGAAACGCGTTCCAACTGATCTATCCCTCTGTATCCCTCCGTCAACCCTGTATATCGCACACCCGACGAGGACGGAATTCCCTCTTCACCCTGTCCTCACCGCCGTGTTTTTGGTCAACGTTACGTCCCGTGCACCCCCTCGGGGAGGGCAGCGAGGTTCGCGCGAGAGCGCGAGCGCGCGCGCGCGCCTCGTTGCACATCGATCTTCGTCTCAGCCAATCCCCGCCATTTTCGTTCGCCTCGATTGGTCCGCGATCTCCACTTTCCTCGCGTCTTTGCAAATAGAATTCGCCTTATTTTTTCCCTACTTTCCACCGTCGTGTTTCCAACTCTAATCGACCGGCCACCGGGCTTTGCGCTTTTACTGACCTTCGACCCTCCGTGCCTAGCTCCCCCGAGGTTCCCTGTGATCGTTAGCTAAGGTCAGGCGGTTGTACGATAGGCGAGATCGTGCCTCGAGGTAGAGGCACCAGAAATCCGGCGCAGTAATCGCCCCAAACGCGTGGCTCGCAACTTCTTTCCGTAAAAACAAATACGGTGTTTACCCAGCGGGCTTGGTGACCCCTTTGGCTCCGTTTGCACATTTCGTATTTCGTTTTTCGCACAGGTTCGCTGCCCCATTGCCGCTTGCCGTTTTGGTTACCGCGCGCGGTCTCTCCGCTAAAAGGTCCTCGAGCCTCGTCTGATCGATCCCGGACGATTCTCCTGGGGAAATGGTTAATCCGCGTTTCTCCCACCGGTCGTCGATAATGCTAGAAAATCGTCGTTGCACGGATATCGCGTGTCACGGGGACTGGCACGGGATTTTCATAAGCCGCCTGCAGGTACTCGTGTAAAGACGACGGGGATACCCATTTACGAGGACTATCATCGACTCGATAACCGTGTCAAGGGCAGATCATGCCGTGGCACGACGAAGAAATCAATTTGTTTAATAAATATCTCCCGTGGACGGCGATATGACTGATTTTGCGCGATCGTGCGCAATTGCGACACGAATTACCGTTCGGCTTGCCCGATTAATTCCCCCTTTCTTGTCGTCTATTTATAGTGAACCGAGAAACCTTGGCGAGCAGACTGTGTCTAAAACGATTCCTCGTTGAACGGACTTTTAAATCAATTTCGTCTTCTTCCTCCCCGAGTGCGCGTTTGCTACCTCTTGTGTGCCACAGGTAAACAGAAGCGATTATATTTGCTCCGGTTCTTTGTAACCGGTCTCGCTGTTGGGCATACCCTCTCGTAAAGTGTCTCACGTCACATCCTCATTCACCAACTTATTAATAATGAGACATTGTTTACGCGCAGCTAATTTCCAATCATCTACGTGCAGCGGAATGCTGCCGCGTCCAAAGGACGACGCGGCGATATTCGCGGAAGGGACGTCGCGTGGCGGCATTACCTCGGCGATTTTCTCTCATCATCGCGTAGGTATATACCAGAGAGTAGATGGCATTGCGTAAGCCTAGTTACCGCGCATGAAAATTTGTCTCGACACCGAGCAGGTCCGCCGATTGATACGCCCGCTCGCGATCGGCAGTGCCTCCTGCAAACACGCGACTTTCGTCATCCCCATGATCCCGATATGCTCGTACTCGTGCGTCTATGTACCTACGGTTTAGCCGGGCGCCGCGACGTTTGTCTTTCCGCGTTACGGGCAAACCGCGTGCAACGCGAGTCGTTTGACGTCGCTGGAAATCTCGCTCGATGATTCTACCTATTCCGTCTACAATCTCGATAAAAATAGGTTTCGTATGAATAGAATCGGTTTTACGATCGATTCGGCCGTTACGAGAGACAGAGACGCTCCGGCGTCGCTGTTCCAGCGTTCTTACGTAAACATCAAATAATATTAGCGTAGGCAGAGGAGCAGAGGGCGAGGAACAGACGCAGAAAAGGCGAGAAAATATCGAGTGTACGTGTGTATTTGCAGGAACATAGATGTGTCATTCGTGAATTATAATCCGCTTTCATCGTCTCCAAACTCGACGAAATTGATTGGCGGGCATTAATCGGGAAATATCCATGCGACGATTATTCCGCCGATATTTTTATCCTATCCTTGGAAAGGTTTTAAACCTATAAAATCAGGGAATTTGCTCGATAAGAGCGTAAGATGCGTTATCAGCGAAATTAACGATGCGATGAGCCCCGCTATCTGTATTGTGTCGAATCGAGTCGAATCCAGTCGAATCGATGAGCTGCGCTGTTTCATTCGACGATGCAATATGTCTCGTCTGAAACGGCAAAATTACTCGGGTGAACGTAACTCTTACCATTTCAGCCGCGTGGTAAGTATCGCGAGTTCGTACCTAAGGTTACACTCGTAATCCAATCTATGTAAGAACCAACTTTGGTGTTTATACCGCTGTCTACCGCGCAACCTATCCCTCTGGATACGATCCCTATCAGCGTTAGTCTCTTGGTCATAGGATTTTCCCATAGAACCGGTCCGCCGCTGTCCATCTGTTTGTCGAACAAACATTTCGGTGATATCGTTGCGTGGGACATTTGTTTAATCGATTTGATTCTTCCGCGATTTCGCGGGTACCTTACCTGACACGCGTCTTTCCCTTCGCCGTATGTACAAATTTCTTGCGGCGATATATTCGCGATACGCTTGGAACATTGGAGGTTCGTCAGCACATACAGAGTGACTTTTTGCAAAACGTCGGAGGTTGGACTACCAAAGTCGGTCGATCCCCAACCTAATAACGGTGGTTAAGACAATCAAAATGGTGAATATTAACGCAAGGTTACGCGTTACGCAATCTTCTCGTGTCACTAACCCAGTATCTGAACTTCGCTGCCGCCGAAAGAGTCGGCTGCGTGTTGAAAAGGTAGGCAAGCAGGCCCAACCTCGTTGCTGTATATCATATCCGTCTCCGATTTCAACAGAGCGATGTCGTTTCCAGGCGTTCCTTGTATGTAATTAGGATGACTAATGGCTTGCACTACGCGATACAACGCCGTGGCATTCGTCTCCATCCCTAAATGTCAAAACTGCCTTAGCTACATCGCGAAATGGCGATACTCGCTGATACTCACCTGTGCTCACGTCGTGTTCGCCAAGTAAAATACCCAAAATCGAAACTTCTTTGTTCAATAGGCAATGTGCCGCTGTCACTACGTATTTCTTCGCTATTAGGGTACTTCCGCAGAACACCCTTCGCAGTACCACGTCTACGATTCCAGCCATCATAGGGAATTCGTTCACTCCGGCATCGACTCCGCCGACGATCCTAGTCTATGAGGACAGTCGACAAAGGGCCCTATTTATTCGAAACGATTTCCCTAGATGTGGAGATTGCGATGACGTTGCGCAAACTTACGGGATTCTTCCTTCCGCATTCACAGTTTTCGGATTCCTGACGACTGTTTACTGCCTGCGCCGCGCAGATGAATTCACCACCCTTCGACCAAAATGGTGACTTGAGCGTTACGACCATCTTGTTTGATTCCGATAACACGTTGAACACTCCATCCCCGCAGTATTGATGCGTGGTTCTAGAATTGACTTGCACGGATAATCGGTCTTGTGTACAATTCTGACTCTATCGGAAAAATCGTTCTGCATTATCGATCCTGCTCAACGATAGATAACGCGATAAAAACATTATCTTACCCATGGTATGTGAAACGGGTTGCAGGTCAAGTTAACTCGATAGTTAGTTTCGATGGTCCACTTGCACGATCGAAACCCCCGATACCTATTTGGGTACTCGGGGTTGTAAATAAAATACGTCGTGTCGGGAGCTAGTTCTTGGTAATAATCACAGTTCTGCTGAAACCGGGTCTCGTTCGACTGGGCCAAACTTAAAAGCACCAAAAATGACAGCAATGCCGCTGCAACGTGAAGGAAAATCCTCTTCGTGAATAATCGGGGAAGGAAAAATACGTTGATAGGTTTATTTACAGGGTGGAGCATGTATCGGGGATGTGTACATAAATTTCTATTTTAATCCTGCCACCTGATGTAAATCGAGTAATTACTACGATATAATCTACAAATTGATTTCTTTTCTGCGCGTCGCGAGATAATTAACTGTCGTTTGATACAATGCCGATTGCGTACGATACGAAGCACAAATTTACGAACTGCGTAATTCCTGGCTCGAAATTTCTTTCAACGAATATATTCACTGTGTGTACCTTTCGTTATAACACCGTACAGCACGGAGTCATTATTTACGGAAACCATGATACTCTCGATTATGGATCAGCTACGTGACAGAAACGGAAATTTCGCGAGCACAACTGCAACCATCTACCCGCGTTGGCACGCATTCCGTTTTTATCCTCATCGCGAAGTCGGCTTAAAGCAAAGGGTAATTTCGCGCAAATTATCATGTGCTCTTATCAGAAGCAGTTGCAACCTCGAGAATAAAAGCGATTTTACGACAACTATTTAATGCTTTCGCAACCGCCACAAACAAAATTCCTCAATGTTGATACTCGCACGTTTTCAAGGTGTTCAAGGGTCTTTTCCTAATCTTTGTCCGAATAATCGCTTCGATCGATATTAATACGAAAGTATATTAGATCGTAGATATTGATATCGTAGTCTTAATTGGAAATTACACGAAATGCCGTGCGAGCCGAATTCAATATCAATAACTTATGGACCGATAAAAATCAATTTATTTTTACGTGACATTTTTAGCATATAATTCGTTACATATATTTCTTTGATTTATATGAAAGTTATGCGGACGTTTATCCTGTCGAATTGATTTATTGCTAAGTGCGGTTGTATACAAGTTTATTTTGCGAATTGACAATTGATCGTATAAGAATTAATATTAAAAAATAAACTATCGCTCTTTTATCGGGAGATATAAATTATACTCCTTTTTCTTATGATACAGTATGTAAGGTTAGAAGAGTACTTGCAAAATACGTCGCAAATTTTCTTCCTTTTTTTTTTTTTTTTTTTTATTTTTTTTTGAATATCGATATTTAATAGAAAAACAATTTTCACGAAATTGCAGATAAACGTCGAAAAGTTGATAATATTAATATAATAGGAGAAAACAGCTATTTAACGAAAAACATTTCCCTTGTAACATTTTTTATTAGTATCTCTTTTCTTTTTTAATTATAGCCTAAATATAGACAACGTTAAGTATTCGAGGACGTTAGGTATCAAATATTAATTGCTGTAATTAAGTCGTAAAATATCGATAATAATAATTATTTTTGAACTCGTCGTGAAGGAAAAATATTAAATTCGAACGGTGGCTTATATTAATATGTTTTAATGAAGTAAATTGTTTTACATTGTGTAATATAAATATCAAAGCGAATTCTTGCGTGTAATACGTGATGCAATATAACAGCTAAGTCGAAGAAGGTTGTTCAAAAAGTTATCGATTTTTAAAATTCTGAGTTGTAAACAATGAAAGTGAAGCTAGTAATCAGTTTCAACGTTTTTAATTACTTTTGAATTATCTTAACAGATAAGCAGACAAATATTAAAGAATGAACGCAGTAAAAGTGATTTGAGCGCCATCTAATGAGAAAATTCGGAACATTGGATAGTTGCTATAGCAATGAATGGAATACAAACTGGAATATTAATAAAAATACATAGCAATATAGTTGTGTGATATACATCTGTATATATTTTATTTTGATCAGTCGTGATATTTTTATAGCGCGAAGTTGCTCAGTTATTCGTGGTTTTGAATTATTCGAATAGATTTGATCGAATGATATTATTGAACATTATCTTTCGTAAATTGCAAAAAAATTACAGTGATGGCTAGTTGTGACGGTAACATTGAAAGAGAAAGAAAGAAAGTAATTGTTGATAATATTGAAATCTATATATTTTATTTATAAGCAAAACAATACATCGTGTAAGTCTTTTATCTAATCCTAACCTCAAATGTTTTGTTTATTCAATAGCATAGTTGCAGTAGAACAACAGGTACGAAAAGCAGTCAAGATACCACTTGTACACCAATTTATCGTCGTAGACGTATTTCAAAAACAAAACATACACCCAAATCTCATAGTTTACATAAATATTCATCGGATTATATGACTGATAATGATATAAATGATCACGAAGACGAAATGGCTTCGAGAAATAGAAGTAAAAGGTATGAATATGAAAGAAGTAGGAAGTTAAACGTAGAGAATAATCCTCAAAAGCAATCATTTGATGAAGGTGATGCCGATTCAGGTATTATATACACAGTGGAAAATCATTTCTTTATTTAAGTGAATAACAATAAGGATTTTATACTTTATTATTCTAGGAATAATTTCATCCAGAACCAGAGATAAACATGTGTCAAGGGACACGTTGAAAGTAGTTAATGAGTATCATAAATTAGAGAGGCGTTATAAAAGTGTTCAAGAAGAATGCCAAAAATTAAGCGATATATTGCAACAAAGAGAATCAGAGTATAAAAGAGTATGTTCGCATTATGAAGCATTGCTACAAATGGTTCAAGAGTTAGAAGAAGCCAAAGTTAATCTCATTAAGCACAATCAAAAGCTCGAAACAGAAAAGGTTCAGTCGAATGAAGATATAACGCTTTTAAAGACAATTGTTTACCAGTTAAATTCCGAATTAGAGAGATATCAGGACAAATTGGGCGAACAAAAACATGAAAATATTTCTGCGCATGCAGAAACCAATGAAAAAAGGTACGATTCAAGGAATTGGGGAGGTATTAATTTTCACGCGTTGGGTCCACTGTTGAATGCTTATGAAGAAAATTTATCAGAGAAACAGGAACTTTTGCAGATGTACGAACAGGAAATGGCCGATTTTAGTAGTAGGTGTAAAGAAATTCTTACGGAAAATGAGATTATGCACAAAGAAGTAGAAGAATTAAAATCAGAGGTAAATAATTGCACGTGTATCGACAATGTGAATAAGTAAATGAAAAATGTGTTTAATTATCGTATAAATAGCTGTAATAAAAAATGTATAGTGTGACAGGTATGCAAAGGAAATTAAAAAGTTGGTTGAAAATACGGCATCTTTAAAAAAACAAAACGATATTTTGAAAAAAGAAACGACAGATGTGAAAAGAGAAACGAATGATATTCGTTCGTCTTACGAATTAAAAATGGAAGTAATATTGAAATGCAACGAAACGTTAAAGAAGGAACATACAATTACGGTATCTGAATTGAGCAATCTACGAGGAAAATACGAAGTTTTGAGCAAAGAATTTGAAAAATTGAAAAGTAAAGAAGAACAAACAGTGCCTACTGTTGTTCATACCTCGGCTATCGAAGAATGTAAAACATTATTGGATGAGTTAAAATATCAGTATGAAAGTGAGAAACGCAATCTTTGCAATCATATAAAACGTATAGAGGAAAACCAACCCGAAAACGAGAAACAACTAATAATGGTTATAGCTGAAAGAAATCATTTAAAGGGCCTTGTTGATAACCTTGAAACAAGCTTAAAGTAAGTTACTTATTTATATTTCTTTCGTGTAGTGGTCGTGTATCCTATCCATACGTAACGTATACTTAGATTTTTTTCAGGCAAACGCAACGAAGAGTTGAACACATGCAAACTCTTGTTTATTCGACTCGTGTCTCACGTAATTCTTTGAAGGAGAAATTAAGTAAAGTAACTGTTTATTGCGAGGAATTATTTTCAGAGTATGAGAGAATCGTTGCAGAGAGAGAAAAATTACTCACTTTTTTACGCAAAACGGAAAAAGACAATGCAAATATGGATCGTCTCGGTAGAAGCATTACCAGTCGAGTGGAAGGCTTAAAAAGTCAATTAGAAGTATGTATCACATATCGAAGGTATTAATAATTTAATACAAAACGAAAAAAAAAAAAAAAGAAAAAGAAACCGCTAATAATATATAATTTCAGATTGTTCGAAAAGGTACGAAACAGCAGGTAGACTCTGTGGAGAAACGTATAAAATCGCAAGAAGTTCATGTGCGTCGGATGAAACATGATTATCAATGTAAAATACATCAGTTAAACGGCGTGATTAAAGAACAGAAAGACGTTATCGAAAAGTTGCAAAAAGAAAGACATTCCGGCCAAGATAATTCGGCAAAATGAGTATTTCAATCAACGAATGATGAAAAATTTGAACGATTATAACATCGGGACAGAGAGATTTTTAATCTTTGAATCAAGTTCGTAAATCGTCGGCACGTTATTAAATCGGTGCTAAGATCGTTTATAATAGATTGGACTTTGAAACTGATTTTCAACGAATCTCACAATAAGCATCTAATTATGGAATAGGTGCTACTCGAAACATCGTCCTCGTATTTACCGACCGTGTCAGTCGCTTTATTTAGCAGTGACATCAAATGAAGCAAGTGGCTGCGAAGGCTACCGTCCTCCACCGTATGAACGGCCGATGGCAGTGGAGACTCTACTAATCATACGGTGAAAAGTTGATGTCATCCGTTATAGGTATGATGTCAGGCGCGTTCCATTCATTCATATGTAAAATATACCTATTCTAGCTTTGTTTTTTGTTTTTTTTTTATAGAATTTAATAATAAGCCTAATGGATGGACAGTATTTAGATATTGACATCTCAATAACCCACCAATATGATATTTCTAAGTATAACTGATTCAAAGGATTGGTTATTTTTATAATTACAAGAAATGTTAAGAAATATATTTTGAAATTCGTATTCCTTCCTCTTTTTCCACTTTTTCCTTCCTTGTATCGATTTAGGCTTTGTCGAAAGAGATTGTATATTTTGCGTATTATTTTATGGTTTTCATAACATACGTGAAAGGAAGAAAACCACACGTTGGAAGTAAAAAAAAATAACAGAAAAACCAGGATAAGAAGTAGGCAGAGATAATTCCTCTGGTAGTAGCAAGAAAAAGTTGTTTAGCATCCACTCGCGTAACGTAGGGTGGTGGAGCTGCCACAGAGCGGCGTTGCGAATCGCCGATTATTCAGTTGTGTCGCTAAAGTTCGGAGACTCTCGACGGAGTTCGGGTGCGTTAAAAGCAAAATGTCGTCTGCTAGGCGCGTCGTCAGGAACCGGGTCGAATTTCTAACGCGAAAATTGCTATGATAAGTGATAATGAGATGTCTCTGCATACAAGTACATAGTGTTTTTCGTTGGAAGGTGTATCAGAAATCACAAAAGGATATTCTACGGATCGGGCTGTCTCGTTGCCGACAAAGAAACTCAAGGGGAATACCGGTGAACATTGATTTTTCCTGCTTTCGCATCTTACTCGACAGATGATCGAACGGTAATGCATATCCTTCGTATTCTGTCGATTCGTTAATATTGTAAAGATTTCAATGACTCTGTACTTTTAATAGCTCAGATAGATTAAGAGGAGATAATATATCATGCCGTCCTTATTGTATTGCGTCGAATCGATTGTTTGTTTCATGATTCGGACCGATATGTTCGAATGAATCACAGTTACGTTACATTATTTTCGGTGAAACGGTTATATTCGTTAGTTGCACGAGTGTCTTTCGCAGATGTCGCTGACTCGCGATATCATACATTGTTCATATATTTTTCACGTATGAATAGGAAACATTAGAATTTTACGATAACGTTGATCGAGAATATCGTGAACATCTTTGTGACGCGCAAACTCAAAGAGTTTAGTGTCACTTGGTTGAAACGTAACTAGCTCGCTGCGTTTTCTCAACTGTTAGGTTAGGTTTAACTCGAGAATAGCTAGAATATACCTTTGTTTCATTCAGCGAGTACGTTTTGAAACAAGAATGTTTTCGAGTGTCTGGTTATTCGGTAGAAATTCGTGTAAAAGTACTCGCGGCGATTTTGCGTTAGAAAAATCGACAAATTCGACTCACAGAAGAAACGGAGAAAAAAAGAATAGAAAAGTTATTTCGCGTGGTTGCGTGCGCGGAAACTGAAGTTTTTTGAGGTGTGAATATGGAACGGATATCCGCATTTTTTCATTTGAAACGGAAGAGCAAATAAATAAAACCGTATAAATATTCTGCAGTTGAAGAAGGATTCGACGAATAAAATATCGAAGCACGTAATTCGAATGAAAAATTACGATTGTACTTTGAACAGCGATAGAAACATTGTTAATAAACGATAAAATCGCAAGGCTATCGCCTACTTCTAGCAGAAATAAGCAAGTAGCACCCCGGTTTGAAAATAGAACGGTGATGTATATATCGAAGAATTTATGCATGTTTCAATTTTTTTTAACACTGCATGAGAATTAGTTCGACTTGATATGTTACCACATCCGCTTCCGGTTCTTTATATCGGTTCTCTCTCCGTCTCTCGCTCGTACCGGTAAAGTACGCATTTAACGCGTAAATTAAACGCGAAACGAATCGTTCAATGAAATTTTGCGATATTTCGAACGTCCTTAGAAAGCGTTATACGGCAGGAAGCATTACTTTCCCCGCGGTCGTGACTCATAATTCGATTACTAAAATATTAATGCAATATCGTTTTCTCCCTCTCTTCTAAGTACACGTACGTCGTTAAGGGTGCTCCGAGCGCCGGCCATTTTCGCGCAACGCGGCGATGGTGAAGCATTTTCGAGGCGAAAAGAAGCGGAAAGATAGAAATATCTTTTTTCATATTTATAGAATGTTTCGGAAGGGGGACAATATCGAAGATAGCGAGGGCGGTGGAACGAAGCTATGGTATTTTGACGAGTGAAATACCGAAGAATCTCGGGATCGAGGCAGAGGTGGCGAAACGTACAACGACGTGAATTCTTCGAGGTCGGGCCTAACCTAACCGTTCTCGGGCAGATCTAATCTGACCTAAGCGCCGCTGACGACGAAGATACGAAGCATCGCCTGGTTATCGGCGTGCTGGAAGCACGTTACGTTGCTGGGCCAAGCAACTGCCGTATATCGGCGAGTATCGTCAAAAGGACGCCAGGCAACGCGTACGCTTTCCCTGTTCGTCGTCTCCTTGCCACCTCTCTTCCTTCCGTTCCGCCGGTGCAGTTGGTGCACTTCTACGCAGCTGTACGCTACTCTACCCTACAGCAGCGTCGTGTACGGTAAATAAACGCGCGGCATGCTTGCCTCGAGTTCCACGTGCTTTTCCTTCGCTTGAAACTATTTCCAACTCGACAATAGCGTCGATTTCGAAATAAAGACCGGCAGCGGAGAGGAGAGGAGCGAGGAAAACGTGGCCAGCGAGATCTACATAGGAAGAGAACAGTAACAAGGATGTCGTATCTGATATCGCGTGCAAAGTTGCCAGCTGTCCGTTGTCGATAACACGGCGACTTAGTTCGGTGCAGTATTCGCCGTTGCCTCGCGAACGCTATTGAACGAAGACGACGTAATACTTTAGAGCGCTGCGTGTGTCGCGGTTGTGAAATTGCCAAGTGGTTGTGAAACAGTGCCGAGCGAGAGAGGAGTTGCACGAATATGGTGTAAAAAGGAAAAAAAGCAGTTCTAATCAACAGCCGTAGAGAATGGAGTTCGAGCTGGACGGAAGCCTGAAAGAATGGGTAAAGGACAAACCGTTGAGTATCCTGCAGCTCGATCCTGCTGACAGAGCCGTCTTACGGATTGCCGGTAAGTGTCAATCGCCGTTTCTAGTTTCCGTTTTCATAAGCCCGATTACGTACTCGAATTCTTTGCCGTCTTTCGCCTTCCGCCTTTCGTTTTCCTTCGTAGCGCGATTCCAGAATATATCGCGCTAGTTGGCCGCTTCGCAATCCCCCATTTAGCCGTGCAAAACAACTTAAGCACCGTTCGCAATTACCCACGCGGTATTCGATCAATTGTAAAATGGGCATCGTTATGCGCAACGAGCGTGCTGGATCACGTTGGTCAACGGTGACGCTCGTCGTGCTCCTACCACACGACAAACACGAGTATCGTTATAATCAAGAGCGCATACGTAATCAACCGGAACGTTAACGTGTATTCGCATTCCGAATCAACAACTATAATACCGACCATCAGTCGCGTATTCTTTTCCTCCTCGTTTCTCGTCACCGTT